ACTGTCCTGCGACCTCATTTTAGACTCTAAGCGAGGAAGCTCAGAGAGGTCAAGCAGCTTGCCCAAGTCACACAGCCAGAGAGGAGCAAAACTGGGACAAGGCCTCCGTGTCCCTTCCTTGGTGTGTCTCAGGTACTCTTTGTTAGTGTGCCTCATCCCAGGATCCCACTGGGACTCCAGAGCTAGGGGCAGGGATGTGCCCAAGAGGGACCTGGACCTCAAGTGCAAGAGTGGACAGACTGGAAGGCCATCAGGGGTTGAGCAAGAGCCTGCTGCAGGCCCGTCCATGTGTCCTCTCATAAGGGGAGGCAGAAGGGCCAGTGCAGGGGCCAGGCCACAGGCTACTCACCTTCTGCAGACCGCCCGGCAGAGGGGGAGCAAGAAGAGAAAGCAGAAGCAGATGGTGAGGGTCCCTTCCCGCCAAGCCCGCCAAGGACACACCCTCCCCCCTGCCCGAGGCCCCCTGTCTGGCCCAGGCTGCCCAGGGAGGGTGTGGCATTTTGGTCACAGTGTGGTCCCTGGGCTAGCAAGGCCCAGCCCTTGCCCACCACCTGGCCCCCTTGGATGGGACGTGTCCTGGGTTGGGCAGGGCCGTGCTGTGGGCTGTGGCCCGGGACCCACTCACCACAGTGGAGTCCACCTTGGGGCCACCGTCGTCTGCCACCACGGTCAACGTGTAGAAGTCTCCCTTCTCGCGGTCCACGAGGCCCTGGACGGTGATCGCACCCTGCAGGAGGAGGCCGAGGGTGAGTGACCGCATCAGGCCCAGGCAGGCCACTCTGCCACCTCCTGCCCGCGGGGCACCCCCAGGCTGTTGGCTGAATCCTGCCACCCTCTCTGATCCACCCAGGCGCACCCCGACCTGGGGCCTCCTGCAGCCCACCGAGGGGCTCACTCTCCTGTTTGGTCCCCAGAGGTCCCCATGGCGGCTCCTCCACATATCCCCTGGGCCGCCGGCCACACCCTGAGTATCCCTCCTTCTCTTGTCCCCGAGGACTCCGGAGGCTGGGAAGGGCCCGGTTCATCTTGTGTTCCCAACACCTGGGTCGGGGGGACTAAGTGACTCATCCCCGCCTGTTTTCAAAGGAGGGACTCCCATAAAGGTCACAGGAGAGCCAAGACGAGGAGGTCAGGTGGGGGAGGGGCTGCCCAGGGAGCAGCGGAGATCGGCGACGGCAACGCAGGACGAGAGCTGTGCCTGGGGGGCCAAGAGCCCAGGTGAAGAGGGAAACGAGGAGGCCACACGAGCTCTGTGACGTCGATCACAAGACATCCACGTGGGCCTCTGTCCCTGGTGGCCGGCACACAGCTCCTCAAGTCCTCGCGTCTTTCTCAGCAGTGGGGACCGGGGGACACTTTTGTTCTAGGAGCTGGTCTTTGGCCCTGGTTCCTGACAGAGTTCCTGATGCCCTCAAAATCCCTGGATGACAGGGACATCTTTTGCCCTCAGGAGGCAACTCCTGTGGGCCCCAAGGAAGGCCAGGCCACGGCTGGAAGCGGGAACGCTGCGTCTTACCCTCGCCCTCGGGGGGAGAGGGCTGGAGGGCCAGTTCTCCTGACCAGGGCCCTAAGGCCCCTGCATTCTGGGGTGGGCAGAGGTCTCAGACTCTGGGGAGGTCCTTTGCTTTGTTTTTGTACCGGGAGTCGACCCCAGGGGTGTTTTACCACCGAGCCGCGTCCCCAGCCCTTTTTACATTCTATTTTGAGACAAGGTCCAGCTAAGTTGCTTCTATGGCCTCCTGCTGGGCGGCTCTGGGGGAGGGCGCTGTGCTGGCCTTGGTCGTGGGTCAGCCGCAGCGAGGACCCTGCCTGAGCCCTGCGAGTGGCCGGCTCTAACGGATCAAGAGAGGCCAAGGCGGGGGTCGTGGGGACCCTCTCATAGCCAAGGTCAGAGGGACGGTCCTGCAGCAGCCTGGGATCCGGACGTGACTGTGGGTGGAGCTACACTTTCATTGTCCACTAGCAAGAGGGACAGCAGGCCGCCTTACTGCACACGCCATCTCACCCCCACCTGTGGAAAGAACTATATCACGGGGAGTCTTTGGGTTTGCTTGTTTGGCCGAGGTCCTGTGTTTGGGGTGCTGGGGGCGGGGAACCCGGGAGTGCTCCACTCCTGAGCTGCACCTGCTGATTTTCATTTTAAGACAGGGCACTCAGGGCCAGCGCCCACTGTGCCCGCCCCAGCCCTCACCGTGATGGCGTCTATCTTGAAGAGGGCCTTGGCGCGGGCGCTGGTGTGGGCGTCGAAGCGGTAGGTGATCTGGTTGAGGTTGTCGATGGAGTAGGCCTGGACCCGCAGGATCTCGGTGCCCAGGGCCAGGTTCTCCAGGATGGCGGCCTCGTAGGAGGCGTTGGAGAACTGCACGGCCTCGTCCAGCTCGTTGAGCAGGGTGACGTGGACGCTGCAGAAGCCCCGGTGGAAGGGGGGCGCCCGGTCCGTGGCGGACACGTTCATCAGGTAGCTGGTCTTGGTCTCGTAGTCCAGGTGGTCCACGGTGGTGATGAGTCCCGTGCTCTCGTCAATCTCGAACTTCCCCTCTGCGCCCGACAGGATGCGGTAGTTCACCAAGCCACCGTCCCCTGCAGGAGGACACAGGCGCCGTGCTCTGTGGCGACCTCTGAGGGACGCGGCGGCGGGGACTCTGGCGGGCCCACCCGGCGTGCACTGCCCCCACCTCTGTGGCTGGATCGTCCATAAGAGATGTGGCAGAGGACGGGGCACACGCTGACCCCTCTCTGGGACTTGGTCTTGGCACCAGGGATGCCAGAGGGGCTGGGCTCTGCCCTAGGGCCTGGGGACCCAGGTTCTCGCCCGCCTTGGACACTGGGGGTGGACAGGGGGTGGCTTGGATCTAGGAAGCGTTGGGTGAGGCAGGTCCTCAGGGGTGGCCCAGCCTTCCTTCAGTCCCTCTGGGGTTTCCACGCCAAGGGCACGGTTCTGTCTTCCCGTCCCCTCCCCCCAGTCCCTGGGCCACGGGACACACCCTTCAAGAGGGAGCCAGGGCTGGGATTCCTTCTCCCAAGTCCACAGGCCTCAAGGGGCTGGGAAGGCCGTGGTCATAAAGCCACTTGGGAGAATCCCAGACCTCTCAGAGCGGCCAGCCCCAGCTGGGGGGGACGCGCCTGCTTAGGGTCATCTGAGCTTCCTGATGTTTTCTCCCCAAAGGCCCGAAGTTGTGGGGCCCCAGAAGTGTAAGTGACCGGAACTGCATGGACATGCCCTTCAGGGAGAGTGATTCAGCAAGTATGTCCAGCCCCCTCCCCTGGCCCTGTGTGGGCGGCTGGTGAGCCTGGGTGCTGGGGGGCGGGGAGCCGGGCAGGAGTGCCCAGTCCGCCCACGCTGTCCTGGAGTCCTCTGTCCCTTACTTTGCACTGCTGACCACAGCCAGCTCTGGGGCTCAGGGCCCTTGGCCACCTTCAGGTTGCCTGGACCAGGAAGGGAGCTGCCTGGGAAAGGCCTGGGAGCGCCAGGCCCCAGGTGACCCTGCAGGGCCTGGGGCAATGGCCGGCTGAGGCCAGTTCTTGACCTCCCCGAGACCTGCCCAGCCCCTCGCCACAGGCCAGCAGGAAACTGCTGGGTCCTGGGATGACACAGCTGGCCTTGCCCAGCTGTGACTCCCCCTCTGTCCACCCGGAGACTGAGACAACGCCCTGACGGCAATCCTCTCAGGCCTGGGCATCTGGCGGGGAGTGACCAAGACTGTCCCAGGTGGCCCTCCCTGGCCTGGGAGCCCTGAACAGGGGAGCCCGAGTCATGGAGGATGACCGGTCCCTCAGGAGCAGGCCGGGAGGGTCCCTGTGAACAGCGGGGCTCCCTGGCTCCCGCCACCAGCCTCACCAGTGTCCCGGTCCGTGGCCCGGACCACGATGACCGAGGTCCCTATGCCCGCAGTCTCGCGGAGCCCCAGGCGGCTGTACTGCTGCTGCGTGAACACGGGGGCCTCGTCGTTGACGTCCTCCACGTACACGATCACCTGTGGGCCCGGGCGCGAGTCAGGGGGGCAGGGTGAGGCCCCCGAGGCCGGCTTGCTGGTCTCTGCTCTCCCAGGCCAGCTGCGGGCAGCCCCGAGGGTCACCTCTTCCCCAGGCCCTGGCCCCAGGCTGGTGCTCAAACGGCTGGTGTAGGAATAAAACTTGTCCCACCCTCGGCCCTGCCCTGGCCCTCTGGGGCCTGTGACTAATTAATGAGTGACTCTTGGGGGCCGTCAGGTTTCTCAGCTGTGACACCGCCACATGGCTGCAGGGCGCCCACCACGCCCACTCTGAGAGTCGTTAGGGAGACAACATGGGCCGGGGCCGCCAGGAGGGTTGAGACCGACCCCTGCAGACCCCAAACCACGCAGCAGAAGAGACATGAAGGTGACAGCCACTATGGCAGAGGACATTGACACTGGGGCCCCTTTAAAATCGTCACACGCTGCGGCACTTAGGAGAGGACTGACCACGCCCTGGCACCGGGGCGCTGGACACCAGGGCCTGGAGGGCGGAGGCACCGGGGAGTTTACTGACCCCCTTGGCCCCCAGGCCCTGTTGGTGGCCCTCACTGGAGTTCCCTGTGGCCTAGGGATGTCCCCTCTGTGCCACTTTGCTGGCTGCTTTTCTTCCTGGCCCCCATCCCCCGGGCTCTGCCTGGGGACCCTTCTTCCTAGTTGCTGTCAAGCCATCTCTATCTTCCGTTTGCTTCCCGGGGCCCAAGGCGATGGCTCTTCTGAGTTGCGCAATATGAACAGTGGCTCTCGCAGCTCCCCCGATGGCCTCAGTGCCCGTCAGGGACGTGCGTGTCACGCCAGCAAGAATCAGGCTGTTTAACGGCGCCTGTGGGCGCAGAGGCGCCCCTTCTCCCCACGACCCCACCCTCCACAGGGCCACTGGAGAGGTTTGGCACAGGCGGGGACAGGGCAGAGAGCAGAGTGAAGGAAGGACAAGGGCGGTGTCCGAGGGGACGCCCAAGGCCCAGAGCCCCTGCCTCCTTTCAGAGATGGCGGAACGAGCTCAGAGAGGGGAAGGGACTTGCCCAAGGCCAGTCACTAGGAGGGCAGCAAAGAGCGCAGGGTTCTCCTGCCCCCACCCGCCCAGGTGAGGGCTCTTGGACCAGGGCCCGCCGGAAACTGGCCAATTGTGTGTGTGTGTGTGGGGGGGGACTGGGAAGGAGCCGCGAGGCTCAGCGTGGATTTCACGTGAGGTCAGCGACACTGAGAGGCCCCTGAGGCACAGGAAGCCCCAGAGCATTCGACCTGCTGACCACCACCACTTGGGTCAGCCTGGGGGCTCTTCATGGCATGGCCAGGAACTGGTGGGTAGGGGCACAGATCTCCTGGCTGCCGTAGGCAGAAAAGGCAGGCTGGGGGGTGGAGGCTCTGGGCAGGGGGCGGGGAGGAGAGGCGCATGGGCGTGGAGGCGGGGGGCTCCCCCTTGGCTGCTCTCGGGGTGCGCACGGCCCTGCAGCGGCAGCTGGATCTTCAGACACCGAGAACCCGCTATGCAAACTGACGTGCCCACGGCGGAGCGCAGCTGTTCTCAGGCTGGAACCTTCTAAATCGGACTTGACCCAGAACTTGGCTGGGGAGATCCTGGGCGGGCGGCGTGGGGGGTCTGCCTAGGGGGGTGTCGGGAACGGTCTACCCGTAAACAGAAGCTGACCACCCGCCTTTCACACTGTGCACCTCCCCTTTCACACGGAGCCTGTTTGTTCCAACAACCTTGACACCAGGGCCCCGGGAAGAAACGGGCCAGTCGGACGGTAGGAGAGGAAGAGGAGGGAGGCGGCAAGGGGCCTGGCCGCAGGCCACCGTGCTCTGGATGGTTCCGGCCTTGTTTTCAGCGAGAAGCAGGAGGCGAGATGGTGTGTGGTTTGCAAACCCGAGAGACACAGCTGCACAGGAAAGCCACGGGCCTGCAGGGCTCTTGCTGAGCGGGAGGGGGCTGCCTGGCTGCTCAGAGAACCCACCTGCGTTCCCCAGGGCTGCACCCCCCCCAGGGACATGACAGGACAGGACAGGCATGCGTCCAGTCTCCACAAGGACCGGCTCACTCCGAGTTCCCTGGAGCCTCGTCTGGGCTGCTCCTGGTCCCTGAAGCAGGAACTGGAGGACGTGGGTGGGGCCCGTGAGCCATCTCTGTGGCTGCTGTTGGGAAACTGACTGTAGGGCCAAACTGGAGTCCAACACGTGGTCAGCAGGAAGTCCCTGGCTCTCAGGAATGTGGAGGCTGAATCATCATCCCAGGGACCAGCCCCAATTCTCACCCCAAAGCTATCCCTGGGGGATGAGGCGGTGGCTTCTGGCTGCTCTGAGGAGCCACCTGGGGCAGTGTGGTGCAGTGGTCAGCACAGCATGGTGGTTAAAAGAACACACTGGAGGTGACTGTCTGGGGGTGAAGCCTGGCTGGACCCCCACTGTGGGGTGACTCTGGACAGTGGCTCACTTTCCTTGGCCTCAGCGTCCTTGTCTGTAAAGCAGCCGTCTTAACAGTGGCGGCTCGCAGAGCTGATAGCAGGGCTGGGCTTCAGTGCACGGAATGCTTAGAGAGATGCCTGTCACGGTCCTGGGAGGGGTCCTCGTTCCTTGGGGTTCAGGGACAGAGGAGTGCAGGGCCCCGCAGGTCCCACGGGGTCCCACCCTGCCCCGATGGACAGCCTGGCTGGTCTGTTTTACACGGCACCCTGGGGTGCTGCCGAGTACTTGGTTTTGAACCGTTGGGACCTTAAAATGATCTGCCGTCACAAGGCATCGAGAGGCGGGTGGGAGCCAGGGGGTCACGTGGAGGGCTGTGGCCAGGAGGCCAAGGTCCAGGGACCATCCACGCTGTGCTGATGTCCGCCACTCTGTGGCTGAAGCGTCCCCACCAAGGGCGGTCCTGCCGTGGGTGTTCTGGTCTCCACGGGAGCCAGCGTTGGGGCCGTCACGCGTGGCGTGTGGCTACATGGCTGCCCGGGAGCACAGTCAGGTAACTGGGTCTCACCTCCCGTCACTGGGCTGTGTAAAACCCAAGGCATCGACCCCTGCGCTATTTCCATGTGGGCAGAGTCCCTGGGGTGGAGGTGGCTGCAGGCGCTCAGGTGTGACTTCCCACTGCTTCTTGGGGCCAGGCTGCCAGGAGCCGGCCACAGCGGGGCTGTCCCCCCAGCGCCCCCACATTGGGGGAGGCTCGGTCGGCCTCGGCTCATCGTTTCCGGCCGAGGGAGCAGCGGGTGGAGGTGGCGAGAGGAACAGCTGAGTCTGCCACTCAGTTCTGGGCAGAAGTCCCTGCCAGCTCTGCCACTTTCCCGTCTCCCTCCTGCTCTGGGTGACGTCTGGGTCTGACTCACTTTCCACCACGCCCGGGGAAGGGGCTGTGCGCGGCTGAGGACGTCATCGGGACCTCTTGAGAGGTCCTCTCCTTCTTGGTCATCCCCCTGTTGCGGACAGGAGTAGGCCAGCCTGGCCGGGGGCCGTGCCCATGTGTGTTTGACCATTTGGGGAGGGTGAGGTGGGCTTGGCTTCAGCTGGGCAGGTGAGGGTGGGCAGAAAGGGACATTGCTGAGGGGGCAGCTGGGAGTGGGCACTGGAATGTGTCAGGGCCATTTTCAGTGGAACGGGAACTGCGCTTGGACACAGAGGTGTGGGCTCAGGGCCTGGTTCTCCCACCAGAGCTCTGCTGGGCCTCGGTTTCCTCATCTGTAAGGGGATCTCTCGGGCACGCTCCAGGGCTGCGTGGACCTAGGGGTTACTATGGTGAGGACCCCTCTTTCATCCCTTGGGACAGACACTTGTGTCGGTGATCTTCCACAGCTGGCGTTCCCAGCCAAATGACCCAAACCCACAGCCCCAAATGCCACCTAGCACCGAAGTCCATGGTGGCCCTGCCTCCACCAGGCCACAACTGGTGGCCACCTTTGGTCCGGCTGCAGCCTTGGCCTGGCCCTGCGGTCGGCACCCAGCCCGCCCCTGGCCTCACCCTGACGGAGCTCCTCATGGGGCCCAGGTCCTGGTTGTAGGCCTCCACCACCAGCACGTGCGACGAGTTCCGCTCGCGGTCCAGCGGCCGGGGGCCTCGCCTCAGGAGCCCGTGGCTGACGTCGATCTGGAAGTTGTTGCCATGGTTACCTGCACGGGGCACACACCAGGTGCACGGGCTCAGCCTGGGGCCAGAGCTGGAAGGTCGACTCCACACAGAGGTCTTGGGGACGTGACAGTGGCCAGGGGACCTCTGCTTCCTGCGGCCCTGGTCTGGCAGAGTGGGCGGTCAGGGGAGAAGTTCACCTGCCCTCTCTGCAGGGGAAGCCTGGGGTCTCCCTGCACCCTCACACCCGCAGGTGTGGGTGCCGTGAGGCCCTCTAAAAATTGCAGAAGGATCTGGGCTGTCACAAAACCAACTCCCTGTGGGTGCTGGGTCCGGGGCTTAGTGGACACCTCAGGGCTGGCTCTGTGCCCTTCCCCCTGACTTTCCACTGGGGACCCTCCCTCCCCACACAGCCCAGGTCCTTTATGTAGGGAAACTGCACTCTTGGTTCCAGAAGGGGACAGATCAGCGTATGTCACACCGGCCATGGTGACGGCTCAGGGATGGGCCCTGATTCTAGCTGAACCAATGGCAGTGAATCCCTGGGGAGTTCCCGGGGCGGGGGCGCCCTGGACTCCAAGGCCCCACTCGTCAGGGTGATGGCTTTGGGAAGCACCCGGAGCATGAGAGACTCCGGGACACGGCCATCTCCTGAGCCCCCCACTTGGTGCGAGTCGTCGGAGTTCCGGATTCCTCCCTCCGGCCCCGTCCTGGGGGCCCACTCACCGTGGAGGATGCGGTACCACACACGCCCAAACTCGCCCTCGTCGGCGTCCGTGGCTTTCAACTGAGGAAGAGCAGACAGTGGAGTCACTTCTAACCTGCCGCAGGGACAGGAGGCGTCTGTGCAGCCCGGCCTCCCCTCCCCCACGCCACCCTGTCCCAGCTCAACCCCTGGCTTCCTGAGAGGCTGGGGGTGCGGGAGACCCTCTAATCCCCACCAAGATCTGGCTGTTGAGGGCCCATGCCAGCCCTCAGGTTGGGGGATGAGTGACAGCTGAGGCAGGTCATCCCCACGGCCATCATTCATTCACTCCCCATCTGCCTCTCGAGGTGCCTGGGTCCCAAGGCGCATCTTGCCACACTTCTTTGTTGGTCACGCTGGGCCGCAGCCAGGCTGACCACTGTAAGGGCCTGACATGGGAGTCCCACTCCCAGGTCCTGGCTCCATGGTGGTCCACACGCAGACCCTCCTGCTGTCCCTGGGCACTATCTCTGTGAACCCCCAGGTGGCCTGGTGCTCCCTGGTTACAAGGAGTCCGCCTCGAGGCTACCAGCAGAGGCACAGCTGACCCCGGGACTGTCCTGAAGGTCCAGAGCCCAACACCAACCTGGGGCAGGTGGAGCACTGGCCAGGTCACGCGGGAAGCAGCCTGAGGCTGCAGCCACCGGGTGGTTTGGGTGGAGGGGCCTGGTGAGGCCCCGATTCCTCAGCCTCCTCCTCCCCCACATCTCTCTCTAGCTCTGGCATGTGGGCGGAGGCAAGTGGTTCAGGAGTGGTCCCTGCTCAAAGCCGAGTCAGTCACACCCTTTGCTGAGATTTTTGACCTTGGGTCCAGAGAGTGAGGGAATCAGTTTTGTAGTAAGCTGTGGGGGCGTCAGTAGTGTGCCCCCACCATGGCCTCTCTGAGCTCCCCTCCGCCACTTTCTCCTTACCCACCCCACCCCAGGCAATTGGTCTCCTTGCTATTTCTTGAACACCAAGTGCATGCCAACCACAGGGCCTTTGCCCTTGCTTTTTCCTCTGCCTGACAATCTCTCCTTCCAGGTATTGGCATGCACACTCCCTCCTCTGCTTCAGACCTTTTAAAAATGTCATCTTCTCATCAGACCCTACCTGAACACTGTGCAGCCCTGCATCTGTGGATTTAACCAACTGAAGATTGAAAATATTTTTAAAACATTGTATCTGGACGGCAGAGGTCTAGACTTTCCCCCATGGTCATTAATACTAAAAGAATTCAGTATGACAACGGTTTCTTTAGCATTTACACTGTATCACAAGGAACCTAGGGATGATTTAAACTGTACAATAGCAATGGAATATTCACCACAAAAAGGAGCGAAATTCTGTCACTTATGGCACCCTGGATGAAGCAGGTGAAATAAATCAGATATAGTGACAAATCTCACGTTCTCAGTTGTAGGTAGAAGCTAAAAAGTTGGTCTCAAAGATGTAGAGAGCAGAACAGTGTGGCCTCTCCCTGTGGGAGAGATGCGGGGGAGGCAGGGATGGAGAGAGGGTGGCGGACAGGTACCGGGTGCAGGTGGGTAGGAGAGGCTCCTGATGTTCTGCAGTGAGATACCTGTGGCTGACAGCAAATGGGTAAGTGGACAAAGCTAGCAGCCAGGATCCTGAACAGTCCCACTGCGAGAAAATGACTACCGTCTGGGGGGATGGCCACACCAGTTCCCTGATCTAGCCGTTACACACCGCATGTGCGTATTGAGGTTTCTGTATTCCATAAATATGCCCAATTATCATGTGTTAATTAAAACAAAAATATATTAGAAATAAAAAGTGAGCTGGGCAATGGTGATGCACCCCTGTAATTCCAGCAGCTCGGGAGGCTGAGGAAGGAGGATCGTGGGTTCAAAGCCAGCCTCAGCAACTTAGTGAGGCCATAAGCAACTCAGTGAGACCCTGTCTCTAAATAAAATTTTAAATAGGGCTGGGGGTGCCGCTCAGTGATTGAGTGCCCCAGGGTTCAATCCCCTGGTACCAAACAACAAACAAAAAAGGCGAAGTATATGGAAGGATGTAAGCTATGGGGTGTGTGTGTGTGTGTGTGTGTGAGTGAGTGTGTGTGTTTGTGTGTGTGCGTGCGGGTGCACACGTAGACTCAACACACTGTTTTATATCAGAAACTTGTGTACGCGTGGATTTGGGTCTCTCTGAGGGTCCTGAAAACAATCCGTGTAGATACCAAGGGACACTGTCTATGGAACTGCATCCCCTGCCAGGCCCTCCCTACCCCCATCACCTTCTGCTACCCTACGTCTCTGTACATTGCCCACGTCCCCACTGAACGAAGGAGCATCGAGTGAATTGTAAACACTTAGCAGAGCTTTAGTGAGGGCACTAAGGTGACATTCAGGAAGCACAGGGGAAAGTCACCCAACACGGAGCACTGGGGGGTCAGGGCCCCTGGCCCCTGGTACTCGGGAAGCCCTGCGGCACTTCTTTCCCTGGCTGATTGCCCTGGGTTCTGTGGGTGTCCTGATATCACTCCAGCAGGGCTCCTTGGCCTGATACAGTAGGAATCGGGTTTCTGTGTCATTGCCACCAAAGCCCCGACGCAGATTCCCTATCTTTGCCCACTGGACAGAGAAGAGAGGATGCAAAGACCAAGCCGGCAGAGGCCTTGGGGTGGGACTGGCCAGAGGAGACAGTGGAAAGTCGGGGAGGCCCTGGCTCAGCAGGAAGAGTTGGGAGGGACAACCAGGTGGGAATCATGAAGAGCCTGGGGAGGGACGGGATGCGTCCCTGTCTGGGGTGAAGAAGGGACATGGCAGCCTCAGGGGAACGGGGTGGGGGACACAGAGTGGTGGCGTGAGGCTGGTATGAGCATGACCAGCCTGGCAGCTGGAGTTGGCCTGGTTGGACCGAGGGACATTCGGGGACTGAGGCAGGTGCATCCAAGGACTTTGAAAAGCAGGCTGACGGCAGAGAGGAGGGAGAGCACGTTGGAGCAGCAGGAAGTAGTGTTCTGGGTCAGGTGCACCCAGAAGAGATTCCTGGCTTTGTCATTTATTGGCTGAGTGACCACGGACAAGGACTTCAGCACCCTGAGCCTCAGCTTCCTCATCTGTAGGTGGGCACAGTGGTGACCAGCCTCGCAGGACTGAAGGCTAGGTTGGAGGTAATCCTGCACACGTTTTGTCCGGGGCCTGGCCCAGGACAGGTGGTGAAGGCTGACAGGACAGCTTCCACCACCCTCTTGGGAAGCCCCCTGATTGATGCTGGGGTTGGGGACGGCTGGGTTCCCCTGCTGTGGAGTTCTTTCCGTCCCTTCCCTGAGCAGGGACAGACACTAAGGTGCTTCGTCCATTCAGATCTGGGAGGACAGGACAGGGGAGAGGCTGAGCTGCCCAGAGGCTGTTCTTGGGACTTCCTCAGTCACAGTGAGATTTCCTGATGCCTGCTCCCTGCGAGCCGCACTGCCCTCGAGTTTTGCCTCCTCTGTCTCAGGAGCAGAGGCCCAGTGGCCAGCCGGTTTGGGCCAAGGAGGTCAAGGAGACCAAGGGTGGCCGAGTCTGGGAAGGAAGACGCAGGAGCCCCAGCGTGGGCTCTGGGCGCCTGGTGCCAGCCGGGTCTGGGGAGATCACCAAACCTCCCACCCACCAAGTCGCTGGGTGGCCGTGGGCAGGTCACAGCTCTCTGGAACTCAGTGTGGTCATTGTAGGAAGAGAAAGATGATCTTGAAGGGTCTCTGCAGCTTTGACAGTCCATGGGGAGGCTCCCAGCCATTTGGGGGTGGCAGACAAGGCCTCTTTCTGTGGTCAAGGTTAAGTGCAGGAGGGAAGAATTTTAAAAAAATGATGGTTCATAAAGATGTGGGGGTCCAGGCTCAGGTCTCGGACGCGGCCACGACTCCTCCTGTGCTGCGTATCTGGGAGCTCAGAGGCCCTGGGGGGCGGCTTCTCCCAGCAGCAGCTGGTTGCCAGGGTAGATCTTGCTTCCAGGAAGGCAGGAGGCTGGGGAGGGTGTGCGTGTGTGTGTGTGCATGTGTGCGTGTGCGTGTGTGTGCGTGTGTGCATGTGCGTGTGTGTGCGTGTGCGCGTGTGCGTGTGTACGTGTGTGTATGTGAGTGTGTGTGCGTGTGTTGGAGAGAACCCAGGGCCCACCGTGGCTCTGGCCGTCCCCCCATCCCCGTCCCCCTGTGATCTCTTTGACCTTCGCCCCTCAGTTCTGCAGCTGGACACCTTCAAAGGAAGCTGTTTTTCTGAGAAGCAGAGAGAGAGGCCCAGAAGGCTGGGCCAGGGGATGCGGCAGGGGGCCTCAGGGCTGCCAGGGCCCATCATTCCTCCGCTCCCCTCCTGCCGCTTCTCTCCCCAGTAACCTGGGGGCTGGCAGGCGCTGAATAGCCACCCGCTGGCTGACGCGCCCACCAGGCTGTTGGAACTTCCAAGGGAGAAGGTGAGCGCTGAGTGGCCTGGGGACAGTTCCACCCGCCCCTGTTCCCCCAGCTCCTCCGCCCCTGAGAGGCCTCCAAGGAGACCGGCCAGAGTGAGGCGGCAGCCCCTCTCCTCTTCCCCCCCAGTTGCCATCCCTACCCTCCTGGCTGTCCCCTCCCCCAAGGCAGGGCCAACTCTCTGCAAAGCCAGGTCCAGCTGGAGAGCCGGGAGTGACCCGCTCCGCCAGGCCTGGCCGACGGAGGGTGCAGGCGCGGCACAGCCCAGGGCCTGGTGGGGTCCCGGGGGCCTCGCTGGACGGCTGAGGACCCTGCTCACCGAGCTCAGCCTGCCGAGGGCTGGCTCTGAGGTCAGTGCTCGGGGACCGCAGAGCAGGTCTGGGGAGGGAATGGGGGTGAGACCCCTGCTGGGGGGCCCTGGGGAGGACTGAGGTGTGCTCAGGCCTCGGCAAGCCCTCTGGTTCTGCAGAGAGCAGACAGGGACAGTGAGGTCTCGAGGCCCAGGCCACACAGGCCTCTCTGCTCTTACAGGCCCCATTCTGTGAGACTCTGAAGGAAGGGAGAAGGTTCTAGAGTGAGCTTGCATGATGCAGCCAGAGTGGGACTTCAGTTAGAAGGGACAGGCTTTCCCTGCGTCCAAGACCGTCCCTGGCTTGACTTGGAGGGCCTCTTTCCTGCGACCTAGCTGGCCCTCGCTGGCTGATCAGCAGAGGGTGTGGACAGAGCCTGGTGGCTGGACCCCCCATGCTCTAGGGCACCCCAGGAAGGGCTCAGACGCTGCCTACAACCCCAGTCTTGCTTTGACTGAAGCCGGCCTAAGGCCTGGAGCCCGGACCTCTGGGTGGCCTGCCGGCTTCTCCCAATCTATCTGGAGGCCCTGGACGTCCGACACCAGCACTGGTAGAATCAAAGCTTCTTCCAGCTCAGACTCTCCTCTCCTTTCTCCAGCCCCCTCCCAGGCCAGCCTAGAGGGACAGCTGGGCCCGGAGGGAGACGCAGCGGGTCCACCCCACCCCTCCTGCTGCCAACCCGCACATAGTGCCCAGCCAGAGAGCCCTCCGGCTTGATGCCTGAAGGGCGGAGGCCCTGGGCAGCTAGACGGGCGTCAGAGTTTCCAGGCGGGAGCTGGGAGGGGTCGTTTTCTGTCTGGAAGTGCCAGGAGGGGAGTGGAGGGGCCCGTGGGAAGTGGGGTGGGAGCTCTGGAAGCCCTCAGTCTGCTGGGCGCAGGGAGCCACAAGTTAGGTCCTGAAGCTACCGGTGAGTACCTGGGGTAGGACAGGGGCTCCAGGGCTGCAGGACTGGGCGGCCATGCTCCCCTCCCCGCTGCCTGCCGTCAGGGATTCTCCATAGCTACACGCAGAACCTGGGCAGGACGAGTCTCTCCTGCTGGGTTTTGGTGCTGGAGAATTGTCTGTCTGTCTGGTTTCTCAACCTTTCCTTCTTTCTTTTTTGGGTTCTGGGGACTGAACCTAGGGGCACTCTACCACTGAGCTACATCCCCAGCCCTTTTCATTTTTTTGAGACAGGGTCTTGCTTAGTTGCCAAGGCTGGCTGTGAACTTGAGATCCCCCTGCCTCAGCCTCCCCAGCAGCTGGGGTTGCAGGTGTGGGACCCTGTGCCCAGCTGAAACTTGACTCTTGAGACCTGGGTCAGACTAAGCTGCCGTGGGGAAGAGGAAGCTCTGCTCTTCTTGGCCTCAGGAAAGACTCCAGGGTTGAACAGAAACAATCAGTCATATTAGACCCTCTTTTGAATCTCCTGTCCTGTGTCTGTAGAATTCAGAGATCATAAATGCCGGCCTGTGAGCTGGACGGAGCCCATTGAGATTAGAATTGGCCGGTGGAGTGTTTCAAATATTGGAAAATCCATTTCAAAATGTTTGGAATCCAGTTTATTTGGCCTTTGTTGTCTCCCTCTTGCTTGTTTTCCTCCATGTTGCTTTAAACACATTGAATGAGTTGCCAACATTGAAACATCAGGAATATTTATCTTAAAAAAAAAAAATCCAGTTTCTGGCTTCCCTTGGGAAACTGGAAGAGCCCAGTACCTGGGGCCAGATCCAGGGAGCAGGACCATAGGCCTGGGCTGGGGGGCAGCCAGTGCTTCCAGGGAGCCTGCCCACCTGTCCTCCCTGTCCATGCCTTATCTGCCACCCAGCCACAGGAAGCCAAAAGCTCAGTCTCTGTATCTCCACAGACACCTGCAGGGTGCCGTCCTGGGATGACCTTGAACCCTAACAGGAAGGCCTGGAAGCGCATGCGCTCTGGGCAGGTCCGGCCCACCTGGCCAACTACTTGTGGGCTTATTTCCCACCTGTTCCTAGAGCAGCTCAGGGGGTGGGTTGGGGGCCCAAGGGGTGGGAAGGAGACGTGGCCAGGAGTCCAGGAACTTGCTTTTGGCCTTTGCTTAGCCAATGGCTCACAAAGTGACCCTGGGCTTGGCCTTCCCCTCTCCGGGCCTTGACTTCCCTGCCTGTCATGGGAACAGGTTGGACTGCATCGGACGGAACATTCACGGAGCCAGGCAGGTGTGCGCTGGACCTGAGGGTGCGTGGTGGGCTGGGCTCCCTGTCTAAAGTGGGCAGCTGCTGGTACCAGAAAGGCCCATGGCCCAGTGTGGCCAGTGGTGAATTTCTGGAGTTTTGAGAGGAGCCAGGCTTCCAGATGTTTACGGAACCTCTGTTTCTCTTTTTCTAAAATCACAGCTAAAGGTGCTGCCAAGACCTGGTGAAGCCTGGGGACCCTCGTCTGCAGCACCAGGGCCCCTGCCAGCTAACTTATAACCTATGACTTGCCCTGGTCACAGGACAAGTTATTGATGGACTTGGACTTTGATTCCAAACTTTCAGGTCTAAGACTACAGCCATTCGTCAGAATTGGTTTCTAAATGCGAAAGGCATTACCCTCTGTCCCCTCCGTGACAGATGGGCAGGGGCGAGAGGGGAAGAGGCCCCAGTCCAGGTCCACTCCACCACTTACAAACTGGTGGGACAGGCCCGGGGCCTTGCCACCTCTCTGGGCCTCACTGTCGTAACCTATCACATGGCCATCATGCTACCTGGTTTCACCAGGCCCAGCCCCCATCCATGTCCCCAGATAAGTCTCTCCCTGCCCTGAGCCTCGGGTTCCGCTGACCTGTGCTGACCTTCGGTTCCTTTCTGTTGCAGGAGACATGAGCACAGAGGGCTCCAGTCTCTCCAGCCCCAGGGCCGCCAGCCCCCAGGACGCCTTCACGGCTCCTGTCACCCCTGGGACTCTCACCGGGGCGACGGACCCCCTCCCAGTGCTCATCGCCCTGGCCTGCATCTTCCTCCTGCTGGCTTCTTGTCTACTGTTCCTGATCCTCTGCAGGCCGGCTGCTCTGGACCCCCGCCACCGCAGGGCCCGCGAGTGCATGCCCCACCACCCCGAGAGCCCCAGCGAGCCCCGGCTCCGGCTTTGGAAGCGCCTGGGCTCCCTGCGCCGCTCTCTGCACGGCTTCCGGAGGGAGCGGCTCACGGCCCCTCCACGGCCACTGCCAGGCCACGACAACACCCCGGGCAGCTGTGACTGCACGGAATCGACCAAAATGTGACAGGCGTTTCCAAACAGATGCCCCCACTATCCTCCACCCCCGGCAGATCCTCCCGCCTGGGACTTCTGGGACGGCAAGACAGCGGCCCAAGCCACCTGGGCCCTGTGCTCACCTCCAGGGCTGCCCTGGGCGCCCAGCCAGTGTCCTTTCCCAAAGGTGATCCCTGAACAGCACCCTCTTTTCTGTGGACCTCTTGCTGCTCTTGCTAAAAGATCCCAGGATCAAGAGGTGAGCTCTCCTGGCCATCTGTGCCCTTGGCCTGAGGCTCTGGGGGTGCAACCTGGAACTCTCTAGGGTCCCTTTCTGGTAACCAGGCACCAACCACTCCTGGAAACAGCACCCCTGTCCCCCAAGAGGAAGTCTGCCCCTGATTCCAGGGCCAAACCCAGCTCAGCCTATACCCAGGCAGGGCCCTGTCCTACCACCTGCACCATCTCGGTGCCCAAGGCAAAGGGACCCAGGGACTCCTCGTCTTGGTTTCCTGCCCTGCCAGCATCCGCCTGCTGACCCGTGGACAGCCTCAGCCTCCTGGTGATCAGACGCCTGGGTGCTGGCTGGGGGCCCTGGACCCCTGTCTTAGCAGCCCACTCAGCTGCCCAGGCTGGAACTGACCAGGAAGGGGCCGGGATGGGTGAAGAGGTTCCTGCCAGAAGCCAGGAAGAGGCTTGTCAGCATGCAAGGGGGCTGGCCACCGTCAGCAGCTTGAGGGATGCCACTGGCCTCTGAAGACACAGAACACAGGGAGCCGCCTTCCCTCTGGTATGCTACCAGACCTCCAGGACAGCCGCAGGTCCTCGGGCCTGGACCACACAAGTCCGCTGTCCATGCACCTGGCTACTGACTGACCTGCCAAAGGAATCCCGCCCAGGATGTCCTTCTTAGAACCCCATGTCCTTGGCCTCTCTTCCCAAGGCCAATGCTAATCACTTTGGTTGGACATCAGATTTGGAGCCTGGGAAGAGGGGACCTAAAATGTCCAGCCCCTGTCCCAGAGTCAGCGGGACAGGCCCCACCCACAGTGACCCACAGTGCGGCTGGCCAGGTCTCCTTGAGGACTGAGCTCTGACTGTGCCACTTCTCAGCTCTGATCCTTCACCGGGGCCCTAATGCCCACGGGCTGTGCCCACGCCACTGTGAGCAGAGGACTCTGGGAGCTGGCCCAGTTCATCTTTTACCCTCACCTTGACCCGAGACCACCTGGCCTCTCCACCGGGGGCGTGTGCTTCCCCCCGAGGCCTTCTGTGCAAGGCCTTTCTTAGTCCTCCAAGGGAGCTGCCCTCCTGCCTGGAGCTCCGTGCCCACCTGTCAGGGAGCCGAGAGCAGCCTCCTGTGGGCAGCGGGTGGCAGTCTTGTCCGCACCCTCTCTTCTGCCAGCCTGGGAGCGCAGAGAGCCAGTCCTTGCTTTGACTCACCAGCTCTGGCAGAGGCGTGGGGCCCGTTACTGGAGCGAGGGTGGCCCCGCTGCCAGCATCCCCCTCCCAGGGCAGCAGGGGTCCTGGCGGAGCCTGCCGAGCACACCACCCCGAGTCCCGCTGCTGCTCCTACAGGACCACTGCCTCCGGCTGGCCTGGGTGGAGACATCACTGTCTTTCTCTCTGGCTTAGCGAGACCTCAAAGAGGGAGCCCAGCTTTGCAAAAACTCTTACCAGGGCCTGGGAGAAGGCACCCTAAGGCCCCGAAGTTCTCCCTGCAAAGTAGGGGACAAGGGGGAGCCCGATGTCACTCAAGAACTCTAGGGTGTCGGTCTGAGGACTGTTGTGTAGATAGAAACCAATTCTCGGGGCTGGGAAGTAAGGCAGGCCTCCCCCCACAGGTCTTGTTCTTCCCTCCCTTCCTGCTTGGTCACCCCTTCCTGGTTCACTTCCCCCAGGGCCTCTCCGAGACACCCCGGGCTGACTCAGTCGGTAGTGGGTCCAGCACCCCCAGGGTCCCCTGGTCAGCAGGCTCTGCTCTTGTGTTCTCTTCCTGGGGGGGGTGGGGGGTGGGAGGAGGCTCTCAAAGCTCTGGCTGTGCCCCTAAGTGGGCAGGCAGCGGCAGGTCCTGGGAGGCCTCTCAGGTACCACAGGGGGAGGCTCACAGCTTTAGGTGCAGGGCTCTGCAAGTCTGCACCAGCTGAGGCCTGAGCAGGGAAATCCTTCTCCTTCCTCCTTCCAGAACCCGCCCCAGGCCTTGTAAGTCCCCAGGGCTTCCTATCTCCCAGTTCCTTGGTCTCCTTTCCTGTCTCCACCTGTCTCCTGCTCCTCGTGGGGAACCTGGGCACACTCCCAGCTCCCGCTTCCTCCCATCCCAGCACAGGAACCTGCCTGGCGGGCAGGCCCAGCTTTGCAGTGTTTGGCTGCCCCTCTGAGTGCAGCTGGAAAGCCCCTGAGTGGGGAAGGGAGCCATTCTTCCCGCCCTCTCCCGGCAACCAGGCCTCAGGGCTGCGGAGGCGGGTCCTCCGGTTCCTTGGAGCCTCTTAGCTGCCACCCTACTCTAGGCCCAAAGAGCCCTTTCTTCTTCAGTTGTCTGTGTCCCAAGAGGGGAGCTGGGCCAAGGGCTGTGAAAGCCCCTCTGTTCTGGCCTCCGGGCCCTGGCTCTCTCTCCTCAGCTCCCTTCTGGGAAAGTGTGACCTCTGTGTCCCCTCTCCACTCTGAAAGGCCCTTTGGGGTGGGGTGGGGTGCAGAGGAGCTGGGAGAGAGAGGCCAAGGCCTTTCTGTTTGCTGGGGAGCCAGGCCCTGTCCCAGGTCCTCCTCAGGACCTCTCCCCTTTCCATCCCCCCATGCCATAACGCCACCGAGTAGTACTCTCAGAGCCGAGGGTGGCCCTGCCTGCTCCCAGCCCGCCTGACCACGGGGTCCCGGGCCACCTGCCTGCACGATGCTGTGGCCCTCGGGGATGTCCTCGGGGACGCTGGCCTCGTAGCTGCTCTGCAGAAAGATGGGCCGGTTGTCGTTCACGTCCAGGACAGTGACAAACACGGTGGCCGTGCCAGTGCGTCGCTTGCCTACGGGGCCGTTGTCTGTGGGAGTTTTAGGAGGACAGTTAGTGGCTTCCTGAGGGGCAGCTTTCCGGGCCCCTGCCCGCTCCTGGGCTCCAGCCAGACCCGCGCCCTGTTCTGCCCCACGGGCCGGGTGTTTGCAATGGTGACTCTTTCTCTTCCCACCATGACACCAACAGCACACAGAAACAGGACCATGCACTGGGCACTGCTCTCAGTCCTCAGCCATTTCACAGAGGAGGCAACTGAGGCACCCAGCAGGTGAAATGGCCCAATGCCTGGGGACCTGCGAATGCTGATTTTTTTTGGAAAAAGGGTCTTTGAAGATGTAATTAAGTTAAGGATCTTGAGAAGAGATCATCCCGGACCTTCAGGTGGGACCTAGACCTAACAATAAGCATCTTTATGGGAGAGACATGCTGGGGGGGGGGGAGGTGCACGCCTGTCTGTAGGGCCAGCACTCGAGGGTCTGAGGCAGGAGGACTACAAGTTTAAGGCCAGCCTGGGCAACTGAGTCCCACTCTGTCTCAAAAAAGAAAAGAGACAGAAGGCAGAAGGAGACTTGAGACAGGGAGAAGGTCACATGGAGATGAAGCCACCAGCCAAGGAGCACCCACAGCCATGGGAAACCGGGCGTCGGGGAAGGGTTCTCCCCTAGAGCCCCGGAGGGACTGCGGCCCTGCTGACCCCTCCTTGTGAACTTCCAGACCCAGGAGAGATACATTCTGGTGTTTCAAGCCACCCAATCTGTGATGCAAATGGAGGACACAGACACAGGCTGTGAGATGGCAGAGCCAGCAGCTGGGGGTGAGGAACAGGGGAGGGAGCTGTCCTCTGCTCCTGTCCATCGATGGTGGGCAGAATGTGGGACACCCACGATCACAATTTCTCAAAAGAAATGGAATATCTGAACTCTTAAACAAGAGCTGTCGCTGCTATTAAAACCCTGGGGCTTAGAGACGGGCCGCAGGGCAGATCTGGCTGGGGGTGGGGGTGTCTGCACTCAGGGGCCTGGTCCTGGCTCCTAAACCCTAGGTGTCCATCGGGGACTCTGCAGAACCCTCCCAGCCTGGGGTGGGTGAGGGTGGAAGCCTTGGCCCTGCCCAGGACAGCTGTTGGGTTGTCCTCCCTGGAGGAAGGAGCTGCACCCAATGTTTGTGACCAGGCCAGGGCGGTCACCCCAGGGAGAGGCGTGGCAGCTGGAGTTGGCTGGGAACCAAGGGTGACTCTGCTTCTGCCCCAGGCTAGCTGGCCACATGCCGGATGCAGTCACCTCCCCAGGCAGATCCTCTTACCTCCCAAGCTCTCCCCCAGCCTAGCCTCCCGCCACCCCGAGGGGCCTGCTCACTGGCCCCGGCTGGGGACGCTGAGCTGGGAGGCCACCCAGAATGTCGGAGCCTGAGCCCTTTCCTCCAAAGCTGCGGCTGGACTCAGAGGGGATGAGGGGTCTTCAAGGGTGGGCAGAAACAGGACGGGGGTGTCCAGGCAGGTTGGACTGGGGATGAACTGCGCCGGAAACAGTGAGTCAGACAGCTCATCCGGCCCCCTACCCTCCAGGGCCCTGAAAGGCTCCCAACTGCCTGAAGATCAAAGTCCAGATTTCCAGTCCAGCCTTAGGCTTCCCAAACCCAGGTCAACCGACCGAGCGGTCAATTTTTCTTTCTTTCATTTTTGGTACCAGAGATTGAACCCAGGGGTGCTTAACCACTGAGCCACACCCCCCAGCCCTTTTGCATTTTATTTAGAGACAGGGTCTCCCTGAGTTGCTGAGCGCCTCACTGTTGCTGAGGCTGGCTTTGAACTCGCGATCCTCCTGTCTCAGCCTCCCAAGCCGCTGGGATTACAGTTGTGCACCTCGGCGCCTGGCAAACCGAGAGCTTTCTGATCTCGGTCTTCTCTCTCTAGTGTAGGCCAACCTTGGGAAAACTGCTTTCTCTCTCTCTCTCTCCCTCAGACCAGGCCCTGAGTGTTCCTCTGTTGACTGTCCCCCACTCTCTGACTCTGAGGCCTGGGATTCCGGGCAGGAGGCTCTGCCCCAGCTCCAGGCATGGGCCCGGGGCTTAGGCCTAACCAACCCATGCACCTCAGTCCCCTGGTCACAACAAAGGCTCAGTGACGGCCCTGGGACAGACAGAACTAATCCGAGCTAATCTGCGGCTTCTGCTGGGGCCCTGTGTAAGAAGCAAGGTCTGTCTGCCCTGCCTGCACTTGAACCTGGGTGGGTGGAAAGGCGGGGTGGGTGGGTGGGGCTGCTGCAATGATTTGCCGCCACCAGGTGATGCAGGGCAGGAAGAGCCAGCCAACGTGGATCCCCAGGCCAGATGGCTCCACCTGGGCCTGAATCCAGTCGCACCTCCCGCGAGGTCTCCGTGGACTGGTTCTGGGAGCCCACAGAGCTGAGGTCAGCTTATTCTATTTTTAAACGGGCCATCCAGAGAGTCCGACCTGGCTCCAGGGCATCTCGGAAGCCCTCCTCGGCCTCGCCCACTCCCTGTTCCTGCCCCCCCGTGTGCCCATGCGCCTGCGCCCTCCCTGCTCCCTTCCCGCTCTCTTTGGCCTGGCGCTGCAGTGGGGGTCTCCCTGCTGGCCTCTGCTGGCTCCCAGGAAGCCCCTGCCTTAGCATCCTAAGCTTCACGTACAGCCCGAAGCGTGAGCCTCCGCCGCAAGTGCCAGCGCTTGGTGGCACTTTGTTCACTGGCCTCAGGGCAGAGTCCCTCCTTTGGCTCCACGCCTGGCCTCTGGGAGCCTCCATGTGAACTCTGCCCCGTGGGGCCGTGTTGGTGGTGTGTGTGTGGCCCAGCTGGCACGTACCGATGGCCTCCAGGACAAGTGTGTATGCGGCAGTGGTCTCGCGGTCCAGCCCCACCACTGTCCTCACAAAGGCATCGCGGTAGCCCACGCTGAACTTCCCGTCCACGTTTCCCTCTGTGGATAGAAGAGAAGGAAGCTTCGGGTTGGTAGCAGAGCTCCAGGACCAGGCAAAGGGAGCTGCCCCCCAAGTCTCTGCTGCATGCCTGGGGTGGCCCAGGAGGGAGTGCCATGCTCAGGTCAGCCCTCCCCAGGGGCTGCGATGAGGGCACAGCTGCATGGGCCAGGTTCCTGGACATAGGGGCATAACGTTTATTGAGCACCTACTACATCCTGGCCATTCCACGTTGATGGGTTCATTTAACCTCCATTTGACAGAGAGGAAAAACGGGTCCTTTTCTGAGGTCATGACATGCTGCCCCTTCTCCACTCTGCCCCCTGCCTCCCTGCAGAAGTGGCTGAGCAGTTAACTTGAGTGGGAGCTTTGAAATGTGGCCCAGGACTTTGGGCTCAGCTGAGCGTTGCTCAGGCCCTGGATCTCCAGTGCTAGCAGGGCACGGCTGAGATCCAGTCTGTATGGAGGCACCGGTGTGTGAAGAGCAGGGCGGGTGGACAGAGACAGTCTTCCTGCGTTCCAGGACAGGTGGGAAGCGTGAGGGTCCCTTCTCTGTGGTTGCACAGGGCTGGGGACCACATGGGAACCCCTCCCCTGTGAGCTGCAGGCAGTGTGGCGCTCTGGGCAGCAGAGGGCGCCACGGTACTAGGTTTGGGGAGAGCTGGGACCAGGACTCTGCAGAGGTGCCGAGGATCTGGAAGGGCTCTCAGCAGGCCAGAACCCGCCCCTTGAGTCCCGGGAATGCGTCCTGGGGCTGCCAAGAGCTCCCTTGTCCTTGCTGGTTTGCCCCTGGAAGTGTCCTGGCCCCACTCCTCTAGCACTCCCCAGTGTGTGAAGTACCATGTGTAAGGACACATCTGGCTTCCAGCAGGGACAGGAAGAACTAAGGAATAATTAGTGTTGGTGACTGAGCCCTGGCGCTGACTGCCACGTGCAGGCTCTGGGTACCTCGCCTTTCCTGGGTCAGTCCTGAGGACCAGGCTGGAGGTCGCCCCGTCGGGTAGGGAAGCGAGTGGCTGCAGCGACCCTGGACGGGCTGTGAGCCGCGGAGTCCAAGCTCCAGGCCAGAGGAGTCAGGGAGCCGGAGTGTGCACTGCACACGTGTGCAAGCGCGCACAGTAGGCATGTGCTTGGGTGTGCGTGATGTGGCTGCGGGCCAGTCGTGAGCAGAGAGGGGACAGCCCCGTAGAGGGGCTGCTGGAGGGCTGAGGGCTGAGGGCTGCCGACTCTCCCCACCCCCGCGTGTCCTGGCACTTCTCGGGTGAAGGGTGCCCAGAAGGATGCCCAGCCCAGGGAAGGACCGCCATCCTGTCCATCCTGCCACCGCGGCAGACGTGGCTAATCCATCGTGGCTCGTGTTCCTGGTCGCGACAGGACAGGGCCCCATCATCTTTGGCCACGGCTGTCCAGGGGGGAGCTGGTCGCCATTTTAAAGCTAAACCAACTGACTGAGGCCCCCCATGCCGGCTGCCTCTAAGCAGATGGGCGTTCTCCATGTGGGTAAGGGGTCCCCGGGGAAGGACAGGCCACGTGCCCCAGTCACTCTTCCTCACCCTGACTTGGGGTGCAGGGGGAAGCCAGCCAGTCCTCCCTCCCCTGGGTCACCCCTTGACAGGTTCGGGAGGTCCCCAGGGAGCCCGACCAGAGTGATGGAGCTGCAGGGCCCTTGGGGAACGCTGCACACCCTCCGTGACGCGGGGGCGAGCCCCGAGCCCCGAGCCCCGAGGCCGCCGCTCCAGCCGCGGGCCGCCCACCTGTGATGAAGTAGCTGAGCTCGGCGTTGAGGCCCACGTCGTTGTCGGTGCAGTTCAGCCAGACCACCCGGAACTCCCGCGGCACGTCCTCGGACACGGACACGTTGTACACGGCCGGGGAGAAGGTGGGCGTCTCGTCGTTCACGTCCAGCACTGTGGACACGGGGACACGGGGACACGAGCTAGGCCCGGCTCCACAGGCTCCTGCCCCGCACCCAGCAGGAGTGGGATTTGCAAGGGAGCCACCAGCCTTGAGTGGCGCTTGTGCCAACGCCTGCTGGCCATGAGCCCCGGCCTCCTGTGCCTGCTGGGCCAGAGCGGAGCTGACCAGAGCTCCCTCATGGCCCTGCCTCTGGGCTGATTGCTGCTCATACTGTCAAAGGGAGGAGAGAAAATTCCAGAATCCCTCTGGACCGTGCCTGACAATGACAGCAGAGATCACAGTGACAATCCCAGGGACGGGGTAGGCTCTTCCACGCGCTAAGTGCCATCCTCACAGGACCCCACGCAGGCCACCGGGCATCCCTAGGAGGCGGGCACCCTCGGGCACAGCCCCAAGCTGGGGATACAGAAGCTCAGAGCCAAGGGACTGGTCTAAAGTCCCAGGGACAGAATGGGGGGCCGGGCTCTTGGGGAGGCCTGGGGCGTGAAGGACTCCTCCCCCACAAGGTTGAGTTCCCCCAAAGATTTCCCCCAGCTCCACGTGCCGGGCCTCTCTTCCTGAGGCTGGCGGGCTTGGGGTGACCTTCACAGGGAAAGGGCCCCGCCATATGGGCTACCCCCTGGGGTACCCGCAGGGACAGTAATGGGCTCGTGGGACGCTGTGGCCTCTGCTGAGCCCTGGGGAGAGGCCCTCTGGGTCCCCTCCCTGTTAATCGTGGTAAAGAAGCCGGTCTTCCACCTGGCACCAGGCTCCCAGGGACAAGCCGTGGGTCGACAGGACAGAGATGTGGCCTCCGTCCTGGGTCCTGAGTGGGGGCCAGCAGGCGTGCCTGCTGGCCCCCTCCCCCACACAGCTGGCCTCCTCCACGCCTGTGGAGCCACAGGAGCCCGACGGGACGGAATGGGCTGAGGGGACGGGTCTCCGTGCAGTCTAAGCTCGGCACCTGTTTCCCTGGAGTCACTCCTGGCCCGGTGGCCATGACTCACGTCTGTGTCCCCACCCTGTCTGGACAATTAAAGGCACATCCCAAGCAGATGAGAATGTCCTCCACCCGGGCCCTGAGGGTCAGCTCAGGGGGACAATCTTGGGGAACCTGGGGATGTGGCTGCCTTCTCCCAGGTCGGGGAGACCCTTCACTCTCCAGAGAGACTCTCCCAAGACCAAGGCTCCCTCCACAGCCCCCCGCCCTCCCCTGCCTGCTCCCCCCTGGGGGTCCCAGGGCCGGCTCCGACCTCCCTGTGTCTCCTGGGGTCAGAGACCAGGAGGGGTGGGGGGACCTTGGCAGGGTCTGGGGCCCTGATGGCGGTGGCCAGATGGGGACAGGCTTTGCTGGCATCCTTAGCATGGCAGAGACGGGCGAGCTGTGAGGTGCTGAAGGGTCCAGCTGGGCAGGGTGCCCGTGGCCAGTGGGCACCGTGGTGAGTATGGACGCCCCCCGCCCCTGCGAGGCTGGTCTCCTCACCGCGGACAGTGAGCGTGCTGGTGGAGCTCTTGGTGGGCGTGCCCGCGTCGCTGGCCACCACCCGCAGCTGGTACTCGGCGATGCGCTCGCGGTCCAGCTCGGCGGTGGTGATCACCACGCCGCTGCTGCTGTTGATGAGGAAGTCCATGCGGGGCATGCCCACCTGCATGCGGTAGGACACCAGCCCGTTCAGGCCCTCGTCCAGGTCAATGGCCACCACCTGAGGGAGGAGACAGGCTGCGTGAGGTGCCAGGCCACTGCCCCAGTGTGCCTCCTGGAGGCTCTCTAAGGACAGCTTGAGAGAGCTGACAGAGGTCCAGGTGGGCTGCCGTCCAGAAGCACTGGGCGAGGCTGCAGGTGGGCAGGGAAGGGACTTTCTGGAACTTTCTAGGACTTCCCCTGAGGAAGTCCTCCCAGGTTCCTTCCAGCGGGCCCTGAGTTCCCCAAACTCTCCAGTGGCCCAGAAATCTCCCCTCGTCCTCCAGCCTGTGATGCTGGCTTGCAGCAGTTGGCCAGTTCAAAGACCCTTCAACAGATGAATGAATGGAATACTACTCAGCCATAAAGAAGAATGAAATTATGGCATTTGCCAGGGAACGGATGGATCTGGAGGCTATCATGCTAAGTGAAATAAGCCAGTCCCCCCAAACCAAAGGCCAAATGTTCTCCCTGATACGAGTTGCTAACACACAACAAGAGGGGCAGAGAATAGAAGTTCAGTGGATTAGATAAAGGGGAATGAAGGGAACGGAGGGGTGTGGGAAAGACAGTGGAATGAGTCGGACACAACCTTCCTCTGTTCATATATGAACACACGACAGTAAACTCCACCCGATGGACACCCTCAAGAATGAGATCCTCCTTAGACTAAGCTGTGCTGCATGGTGTATAACATGTCAAACGCACTCTACTGTGTATCTAAAAAGGACAAATAAAACAAGAAATCTCGACTGCTGAGCCCCTGGATGGGGCCAGGGGACCACGCGGCTCACCCCAGAACCCCCTCCCCCGGGGGAAGAGTCTCTGAGCCACACCCTGCCAGCTCCCCCGAGGCGCTCCTCGTGGTTCAGAGCCGCTTCTCAGGGGTGCGCTGGTGGGCATCCCCTCCCTGCTGTCTGCGAGCCCCGAGAGCAGGGTCTGGGGCTCCGTCCACTCTCTCACCCCCCAGCCCTCCTGACCTGTTGGGGACCACTCCCTGGGGACTGGCTGTGGCTCCCTGGGTGGAGGCTCCCCCTGCTGGGGGCCCGGGGAGAGCGCTCTGCTGAGAGACTCAGTCTCTTACAGGGGGAGAAACTGAGGCCCGGCAGCCAGCGGGCACTGCCCACTCTGGGATCCTGGCAAACGACTCTCCCCTCTTTGAATGGGGACAGGTCAACCTGATCCCACGATCTCTCACGTACGAACTACAATGGACACGACACCACAGCCACTGTGTATCTCCTGCAGCTTGCTTGACACCCACGTCTGGTTGAATGGCCACAGCATGGCCAGGCAGGTAAGGTACCAAGCCAGGGGGCTGAGACTCAGAGAGGTTAAGTAGTGTTCTCCAAGTCACACAGCACATGGGTAGTGGAATTGGGACCCACACCCATGGTGATGGGCCTTCCAAGTCCACGTGTTTTGTTTTGCAGTAAGTACTTGGGGCAGATGGACCCCAGGGCCTTGCATACTCTAGGCAAGTGTCTGCGGCTGAGCAACAACACCCCAGCCCCAAGACTTTGTTAACCAGGAGGACCTTCCAGAATTTCTAAATGGCTCCTGTTGGGGTATCATCTCCCCTGAATTGGCACCTTCAGGGCCTCCCTGACTAGAAAGGATGAGGCAGGAGGCTGAGGGGCCGTGTCGAGGATGGGCCCATCTCTTCCGGGCCACAGAGTCTTGAGTGAGTTTCTTTAAAACCTCCTGCAAATCAGGTGAGGTCAGAGCTGAAGGCTGGACTCGGGCTCAGGCTGTGGGCCTTCCCTGGGCTCTGGATCCGCCCTGTGGGCCAGCCCTCCGCCAGGCCTGGAGAGGGCCTCTGGCCTGGCTTCCAGCATCTGACCACTGCCTCCCTCCCTCCCTCTCCGCCTCTGTGCCTCCCTGTCCTGCTGGGTGCCACCTCCCTTCCTCTCCGCCTGTCCATCAAGACCGGCTCAGGCCCTCTTCCCCCGGGACCCGCCCAGACCTGGTGGGCCACCACCAGTCCCTCCATCTGTCCTGCCTGGCGTGGCCTGCACACCGTCTGGGGGTCTTGTTTGGCAACCCTGCCCCCCTGTGCAAAGTGCACCCCCGGCCACCCGTCGACTGTCAGGGACAAGGTGAGGGACACTCACCTGATAGACGGAGACGCCCGTGGGGGTGCCCTCCAGCACCTCAGCCACGAAGGGCAGGTTCTGAAAGGTGGGGTCGTTGTCATTGAGATCCAGGAGGTTCACAAACACTGTGGCACTGCTGGTGGCCCTCAGCGGGGGTCTGCCACCTGCAGCACAGCGGAGGGAGGGCCCAGGGAAGAGGGGCGGGCAGGGGCCAGGGTCAGGGTCCTGTCCAGCCCCTCCCCAGGCAGCCTGGGCCCTGCCCCTCCCCAGCCCCTCCCTGGGTGCTCTGGGGGTCCAGCTGGACAGAGGTGTCACTCTCCTCCTGGTGACCAGGCACAGCCCTCCTGGCCAGCCCCAGCCTCCCGAGGACCCATCCCAGGGGTCTCCCCAGGCCCCAGGGTGGAGGGCCACCGCCCCCAGGAGGGGCTCTGAGGGTGGGTGGGGGTCGTACAGTCAGCCACAGAGACGACGATCCTGCGCATCAGCTCCGCCTCCAGGGGGTCGGGGTTCTCGCGGTCCAGCATGACGTGGGTGGTGCGGATCTTGCCCGTGGTGCTGTTGAGGCTGTAGAACTTGTTGGGAGGCTGGATGCTGTACACCAGGGTGCCGTTCTCCCCCAGGTCTGGGTCCACGGCCACCACCTGCCCGGAGGGAACAGACCCTTCACTGAGGCCAGTGCAGGGGGCGTCTCTGTGCCCACCTGTGATAGCACCTAGCACCTAGCACTCACCTGTGTATAGCACCTAGCACCTAGCACTGACCTGTGTCTGGCAGCTAGCTCCTAGCACTCACCTGTACCAGCAGGTGCCTGTGTCTCAGAAGCACTAGGCTCTCTCCATGCACTGTCAACCGCCTTATGAGGTGGACATGTATGATTATGTCCATTTCACAGAGAAGGCTCAGTGAGGTGCCCAACCTCTGGAAGCCAGGAGACAGCTGAAGTGGGGTGTGCCCAGTCCTAGGTCCCTCAAGCCCAGCAGGCAACACTGCCAGCTCGTCTGCGTGTCCCTCCTTTCCAGGCACGCAGGGACAAGTTCATGGGCTCTGTGGTCCTGCAGTTCCCTGGTGATCTGTGTGTGGGGGCTGGTGGGCGTCTGTACCTGGGCTGAGCTTGGGAAGGATTTGAAGTGAAACCGTGCCTCGTCCCCAAACCTCTCTTCCCTCCGTTGGAACTTCTGACTGTGGAGTGATGGGGAAAGAAGTGGGCCTCGGCGACATCGCCGATGACAGGATGGACAGGGAGCCGTGGCTGGGCCCCAGTTTGCAGGGGAAAACAGCCCAGAGAGGCCCAGGCCAGATTCAAGGTCACACAGCACCAACCTTGGGGCCAGGCCAGCTCACACTCTGGGGACAGCAGTGGCTGCCACCCTCAGCTCCTCCACCTGCTGTGCTGCAAACGCCATCATGGCACCAGAGGAGGACGGGATCAAAGCCAGGGGAGGGTGACTGCTGTCCCCAGGGCCACATCAGGACAGTGTCATTCTTAACTCCAGGACACTGTCATTCTTAACTCCAGGACACTCGGCAATGACAGCCGGGACCCGCCAGCTCCTCCATCATGTTCTCTGTGAGGCCTTTATGCTTTGGCAGCAGAATCTGTCCCTCCTCTGGCTTAATCCCCAGCCAGAGGTGTCTCTGGGGCCACTCGAGCGGAACAGACAGATGAGCTGCCCTGGCCGAGGCGCCCAGCTGCCCCGGAGGGAGGCTGATGCTGGGGCCCGGCCTGGGGTCCCTGCTGGGAGGGGGCAGGCAGCCCAGCCCTGCCAGGCTGCTCCCTCCCAACCCGTGGCATCCACCTTCCCTGGATAGCATCCACCTTCCAGGCCGGAGGTGCCATCATTGTGCTGTGGGCACGTGTCCCCAGCCTCCATCCTGGGGACCCCAGCACCCCCACTTTGCAAAAGGAAACAAGGCTCCAGGGCACCCTGAGCACCATTGGAGCCAGGCCAGGCCTGTCCCTGAAGGAGGAGGCGCGCCTTGCCCTCCCACGTGTCTGGGGTCCGAGGAGGAGGAGGGGTGGTGATCCTTGGGTGGGGACAGGCTCCAGGGGACAGGACCCGTCCTGGGCCCACGCGGGAGACCCACCGCACGCCAGTGGGGGGCTCTCGTCTTCTCCCCCAAGTGCCAGAGGTGCTGGGTGGACCGCCCTAGCTGGGGGGTGGCGGGAATTCGGGCCCCGGGTGTCCCCAGTCGTGGCGTGGGCTGGGGCCCGCAGACTCCCCGCCGGGCGATTTCGGGACTCTCACCTCTTCCCTCATTTATTTCCCGTTTCACGCTCCTCGTTTTTCTCGGGGCCTGACGGGGAGTGATGCTCTCCCTCTCCCTCTCCTTTAGAGGCTTTGAAAGGCTCTAAATCAGCGCCCATCAGCCAGGTCCTTGGAGGAGGCTGCAGGAGCCTGGGGGGAGCTGGGCCCAAAGCTCACTGCAGAGGGACGGCCGCTCCCGAGGGCGCCCAGCAGGTGGGCAGAGTGACCAGTGCCCGTGCCCGTCACACCTGGCGCACAGATGCAGGTGGGAGGCCCCCCAAAGCACCTGAGCAAAGACTCCAGCCCCGGAAAATCGCCAGGAGCCAACGCCCGAGCCTCGGGCTCCAGGGCCGTGGCCAGCGCTGTGCTGGAGGGGACCCTTGGGACAGTCCTGGGCCATGTGCCCTAGTGTCCAGGTGAGGGAGAGCCAGCCCAGCTGGGGAGGGAGGAAAGAGAGACATTCCCCAGACCAGACCTTCCAGGACTCAGGTCTCCAAGACCTACAGTGTGTCTGGCGCTGTGGAGGGCACACAGACGGGACTACAGCAGGGAGGGAGGTGGCTGAGGCGGTGGCTGCCGCATGTTGGCCACTCACTGTCTGCCAGTGCTGCCAGTATTGGGACATACTGACTCTGACCAGGTTGGGACTCTTACTACCTCCATTTTCTAGGTGAGAGGATTGGAACACAGAGAGGTTAAGCAACTTGCCCCAGGTCACACAGCTGGAAGTGGTGGAGCTGGAATGAGAACCCAGACTCTTTGGTGTCAGCAGCTGCCCAAGCTAGCCACCTCTTAATAACAGGCAACCAAAGGAGCAAGCGTGGACTGTGGGACCTCGAGAAAACCACAGGAGAGGGGCAGAGGCATGCAGGGCCTCTCCACCAGGAGACCTTCCCAGCTGGGACAGATGGAGGAAGGCTGTGGGGGAGAGGAAGCAGAGCATTCTGGGGGAGGGAGGAGCTTATGCAAAGGCTCTGGGGTGGGGAAGAGGTGAGTGGGGCGGGGAACCGACAGGCCAGTGGGCGGGGTGTGCACACCTGTGTGTGACGGCGGGACATGATCAGGATGTGGGCCAGCCCCCCCCCAAATGTCACACTTTTCTTGTCACCTGACCTCCGGGCTGGCTGTTCTGTCTGCAGCCACCTTTCCCGTGACCAGCCACACCCCTCCTCACCGGGGCTGGGGCCTTGGAAGGCTCTGGGGGCCCTGAAGGCATTTAAATCTACCCACAGACGCACAGCTACACACACTGAGATCTTACGCCGTCACATTTAAAGTATTTTTATGACTAATCTTGAAGTTATTTTGCCGTGACCAACTTGATCCGGGGTACCCCTTGATTTCTCATCTCCTGGCCATCAAACCTAACTGGGAATTCCTGGGAGTTCTGGAACATTTTCAAGAATTCTAGAATTGGTCCTCAGAATGTAATAAAACTTCCACAAACATTAGATTTCCATATTACATTTGGAGGATGTTTAATAGAACAGGGTTTAATTTTGATTCTGCTGCTGTGCACATCTGAGTCATTACTTTTATTTTTTCTGGCTCAAATGTGACCAGGGGACACTGAGAGATTCCAGTGCCCAGTCCTTGCCCGTCTTGTGCCTGAGGAGGGACGGCAGGCCCCTGCTGTGGTGAGGGGTCTGCTAGGGGTCCCCAGGGGGCAGGTCCTGGTGGTTTTGAGGGAAGGACTCTGACTCTCACGCAGGTTGGGTCTGAGCAGGAGGGTGACTGACAGGTGCCAAGCAGGCCCCCAGCCCATTATCCGTATCTGCTCATGGCTCAGCAGAACATGAGAAAGGCCAGTGGAGAGGGCCACTGTGGACCACAGCTCAAAAGTGCCCCAAGTCAAGGGCAGACCCCACCTGGAAAATCTCTGCCTGACAGGGGGACTTTGATCATGTGCCCCAGGCTGGTGTCCTGTGCAGCCAGTTCCTGGTAGAGTCACCTCTGTCACCCGAAGCATAAAGCAAAGGTAATAGAAGCAGACGGGGGCTCGGGGTGGGCGCCCGGCCCCAGCTCTTGGTCCCAGGCTGGGGCAGGAGGTCGTCTCCAGTCTGCCCACCAGGTGGCAGCAGAGAACGCCAGACCTTGAGTCCCACCCAGCAAATGGCCCGGGAGGGTGGTTTTCAAGGGGCCTGGCCTGCCACACCAACTCAGGGGACCTGGAATAACACAGACACCAGATCCCTCGTCCTTGACCCCTGCCGCCCTGGGGCCTCCGGGAGGGGACACCACCCAGCGGCTGGGAGTCAGATCTTGAGCAGTGGAGGGGACAGGTGGGCTGGCCAACCCCTCCTCCGTCTTTGTCCTGCCTCCCAGGTTGACATCCTCTCCCACCTAGATCCCCAGGGCGCTTGTCACTGTGGGGTGTGGCTGATATGGGTGGGGGCTGCCCCCAGGTCGCTGGGGGTGAGTGGGCAGGCCTCTGGGCAGTCAGATCCCAAGCCCTGACCCGTCTCCCACCCACGTCAATGCCCAGCTCCTCGGGACGGGGCCACTTGCTGGGTAGAACCTAAGGGCCGGGCCCGTGTTTTCCAGTCCCTCGTCTCAGGAAGACAGAGCGGGTTCAGGTCCTGATGCCACCTCTCCTAGCCAGGGACCTGGGCAAGCCCCGGAAGCTCAGGGTCTGTCCTCTGTAGTAAAATGGCAGCAAGAATCCCCTGCCGTGGGAGGTGGCTGAGGGTGGGAGCATCCATGGGGAGCCCTGGGCACGGTGCTGGACATGTCCCAGGTAGGCAGTGAATGGGGACACTAGAGCTGTCACAGTTCATGCCCATCACAAGGCTGGCTGGGTGGCAGTGGGGTGGACATCTGGGAACCAGTCCCACCAAATTAAGCCAAACGGAGCACCAGGGTGTGGGAGGAGAGGCCCACGGAGTTGACAGAGCAGGGCAGGTCCCTGGGGCCTCCACCCTGCCGTGCTGGAGGCTGGTCTCCATCCTGCAGGCCCAGTGCTTTGGCCACATCTCCCTCCCACCCTGAGTGGCACCTGGATGTACGTGCACACAGTCACCAGCTGGGAGCCTGGGGGTGCTGCACCAGAACACCCCTGGAGTGCACTCTGACCCTGGGGGCCAGCCTTGGGGCCAGCACCGGTGGGAGCTGGCCAGGCTGATGGCTGTGGGCACCAGGTGCTGAAGAGCAGACGCTGGGCACAGCTGAGGGTCGGGGCTCTCCTGGTGGGTGGCAAGAGTCTGGGGATCGCAGGACAAGAGTGGCCACAGCTCGGCCCCTGCCCCCCGACACTGTTCCACTAACACCAGAAGCTGGGGGAGGGCTTTCCCTTGATCTCTGACTACCTTTCATTAGGCAAGGAAGCTTCTAGAAGTCTGCTCTGAGAGTTGGCTCAGAGGGAAGCGTGTCCATCAGCCCCATGCAGGTAGCCCCTAGGAAGGGCGGCCTGGTGGACCCTATTCCGGCCCACCTACCGTGGTCACGTCCGAGTCGGGAGGGGTCATCTCCACCAGGTTGATGTAGTAGGGGGCGTCCTTCCAGCTGGGGTGGTTGTCGTTGATGTCCAGGAGGGTGACGTTCACCTGTGGAGCCACAGGGGGCGCTGTGGGACACGCTTCGCTGAGATGGCCAAGGGCAGGACAGATGGGGACAGTGGGGGGACAGCCCAGGGCCTCACGTGCTTGGCAAGTGCTCTACCACTGAGCCCAGCCCCAGCCTGCTGATGGCCACCTTGGAGTTAATTATACCAGTTTCATCAACTCTGGGAGCCTTGGTCAGGGTCCTTGGAGGACAGGACGGAGCCAGGTCCCTTCAGGAGGAGGGGATGGAGGCACAGAATGGACGGGACGGCCCTGAAGTGTTTGCTGTGACCGAGGGCCATCCCAGTCTTGGCTGGAGGTGACTGACAGGGCGGGGACTGACAGAATCCCTTGAGCTTCCCATTCCCGGCTACAAGTCAAGCAATTTTCCTGCTCACCTGCCGCCAGGTGAATTATTTATAGGGCTCCGACTCCTATTAGCAGGGCCTCCCTGGACGGAGCCGGCCACAGTGGGTTTCCTGCCAAGTCCCAGCCTCCACCCCTCTGGGTCGGCAAGGATGGGCGAGGACGATGGAGAGCGGTCAGGAGAGCGTTCCCCAGGGACAGCCCAGGACGACAGAAGGGGCACACGAAGGGAGGGCTGGAGAGACTGCCCCCATCCTCTCTCCCCCTCTCCCACAGGGGCCTTTCTGCTCCCCACCTCCCTGTTCTTTCTGTAGCCAAGAGCTCACCCAGGACCCCAAAGTCCCTCCCTAAGTGACAAGGTGCCTTTGCTGGTCCTACTGGCTCGTGGCAGGAAACCCAGGCATCACGAGGGCTGGGTGGGCACGGGGACAGCCCCCAGGGACTTGTCAGTGCTAAGGCAGGAGGGGCTCTGGGGCTCAGGCCTTCTGTCCCCTCCCCTGCTGGCCCTGGGGGCTCTGTGTGCCCCCCCACCCCAGCGCTCCCACATCCCGGGTGGCACGCCCCTCTTCCCCACAGTTGCTGCGATGGCCCAAGGCTGATGAGGAGGTGGCATCTGCCCCCTCCCTACTCTCCATGCCCCACGCTGCTCAGAGCCCTGGGACACCTGGGAATGAGCTGGGAGTTGTGACCTGGTCAGCACGGGCAGCGCGTGGACGGGGTGGGCACTCACGGTGGCGATGCCCGTTTTCTGGTTGTGGCCCACGCCGCCATCCACTGCTCGGACGATGAGGATGTACTCAGACTTGGTCTCTCGGTCGAGCAGAGATGTGGTGGTGATCTCACCTGCCAGAGAGAGGAGAGGGTGAGCCAGGGGGTCCAGGTGGGCCAGGGAGAGAGCGAGGGAAGGAGCAGGGCCAGGGTGCAGGAGAGATGCCTGCTGGGTGGCAGTGCGTGTCTGTCTGTGTGCTCGGGGACCGTGGGATGGTGATCACACCCCCGGGGTGTGAAGTCAAGGCCAATTCTGGAGGCTAAGGGGCGGGAGAATAGGGAAGGAGGCCATTTGGCCTCAAACTCCGTCAGAGAGAATCTGGCCCAGGCTTAACTTTATCCTACTGTTGTATCACCTGCAACTAGTCACTCAGAGCTGCTGCCTGCCCCGTTTCCTCATCTGGCCCAAAGGGAACATTATAGGGTTGCTGTGGGATTAATACAGCTACTGTCACAGGGTGCTGTGTATTCACAGGAAACGAAGACCAGAAGGAAAGATCCCAGGGTCCCACGCGTGCCTGCTGGTGACCCAGTCCCCGTCAGCTGAATCCACAGTGCCCTGAGATGGTCACAAAGCCATTTCCTAATCACCCTGGGAACAGCGTAGTCATATCACCTCGACTGTTTTAGTGTGTAAACGCGTGACGACGTTGAATAAAAACTCTTAGAACAGACCACGGCTCCTGTCAGCTGTTTTTGGTGTTTCTTTGTTATTTTGGCAAAACCAAAGGACAGATGTCACCTTTGGTGTGGTGTGCTGGCACGTGTGTGACAACTGGCTTCCAAAAGGGGGCGGGGGCGTTGGCCGATTTCAGTGTAAGGCTTCCCAGGCCCAGTTCAAGCTACGACTCGACGGCACTGAGCGCCAAGTTCACAGACCAGCAGGTGTGCGCTGGTAGGGGCCAACCTCGTCCCGGCCTCCCGGCCAGGCTGCTGACCAGCTCCCAGGGCAGCGGGAAGGGAGCCTCCTCTACAAAGACAGTGAGACCCTGATTGGATTCTGATTTCACCCTTCCCAGGTGCCTGGCCTTGGGTGGGCCTCAGTTTTCTCATCTGTAAAATGGAGAACAGCGTGCCTTCTCGAGGCCACACTCCCGACACTCAGAAAATGATGGCTTCTTTCCAGTGGACTGTCATAGTTCCCCAAGGGCAGGGACTATGTGCTATCCATTTTTTTTTCTCCCCCTTTTCCTGAGCTGTGTGACCTGAGGCAAGTGGCTTCACTTCTCTGAGTTTGGTTTCTTTGATCATAAAACAAGGGAGCTGGGTCAGATGGTCCCGAGGGCCACCTGGCCTATTCTCTGAACAGCGAGGGCCGAGCAGGAAGCGAGGCGTGGGGGAGAAGTCAGGGAAGGTACTCAGGCCAGGGACCAAAGACTGGCAAAGGTCTGCCCACTGAGCCAAGCTCCCCAGTGGGGTGGTGTCAGTTAATTGTCAGGGCGAGGAAGAAATTAATCTCTAAAAAGTTTTAAACATGAACTTGACGGCATGATCGATGGCCTCTCCTGTCTGGGAAATTAGATCCAATTAAGGCCACCTTTGTGCAGCAGCCCTGGCTAATTTGACCAAGGAGCTCAGAGGAAAAGGCTTCCACCTTTGGAGCTGGAGGAGCCCTGTTCAAGCAGCAGAAAATGTCCCTGTCATCACTACAGGGCCCAGCGTGGAGCTGGAGTCCCTGACACAGAGCCTAGGGCGGGGCCACACTCCATCTGGGTGGCACTGCGGGCTCCAACGTGGCTTCCCACGGCGCAGCGTTTAACCCTGGGGCTCTGGAGCCCCAAGTTCAGCTCTGTGAGTCCTCAGTGAAGTTCTGAGCCTCTCCTGGGCCTCGGTTTCTTCATCTGGAAAATGGGACTAATGCTGGAGGGTGGGAAGACGCAGGTCAGAGAGCTGAGAACAGCACTTGGTTGAGGTTAGTGAGTGACACGGCTTCTGTGTCCGCCCTCCGTGTCTCCACAGGTGCACATTCCACTAAGCAGAAATTAGGGGAAAATAATTGCATCTGGAATGAGGTGTCGTTTTTTCTTTTGGTGGTTGCCTGCGTAATCCAACAGAACAACTTTCCTACAGCATTCACATGGTGTTGGTGGTGTAAGTTAAGAGCACGCAGAAGTCCCGGACCATCTCACACCAGGGTCGGGAGTGCCTTGGTCTCCACGGGGTCCTGGAAGCATTGCTCTGAGCTTTCTGGAAACGGGGGAGGGTGGGGGGTGGCTAGCTGGGGTGGACGCTCCCGAAGCAGGGAGGGAGGCCTCTGCGTTTTCAGAGGTGGAAGGAGGGGCTCATGATGGCCCTGGGGTCCCTCTGCCGTCTGTGGACATCGGCTCCGGCCATCTGCTTCCAGAGCTCCCAGGGAAAGTAGATGGGGGAGAGACTGGGGCCAACTCTGACGGGCAGCCATGGATACTGGGGAGCCACTGATCGCCCATGGCAGGGACGCCCAGGGTCCCCTAAGTTCCTGTTCGCTCCCCAGGTAGACGTCTCCTGGAAAGGGGCCCCCGGCCTGCGAGCCATTCCCAGGCTCCCTCACACCTGGGCGGGGCCATCGCCTGGTCTGGCCAGTGGGCAGGAGTGAGGCACGTCACTTCCAGGCCTGGCCTATGAGCTCCGCGTGGCACCATGCCCCGGGTGCTCTTCCTTCTGCGGTGACCTTGGAGCCACAACCTGGAAGGGACCTGGCCCGAGAACTGGCCCGTGGAGGCTGTCTGCACACCGTGTTGGACAGCTGGGTGTCTCCATTGTCTTGAGCCGCCCAGGGCTGGCGTCTGGAGCTCCCCGGCTCGGACAGAAGTGGGTACCTGGAAGAGGGCGCCTCGCAGGGTCCCGTCTTCCTCCCCTCCACCCCAGGGCCTAGAGCCGCACTTGGCTCAGAGCAGGTGGTTCCTGGTGACCAGACCCCAGATTCCCTCAGGTCTGGGAACAGCCCGGGGTCTCTAATTCTTTCCTTCTGTCTCTTTTTACCTCCTTCCAGCTTCAAGGAGGAGAGAAAGTGGGAGGAAGGCTCAAGAGAACTGGAGAAGGAGGACAGAGATGCACCGGCTGAGCAGGGAGCTGGGGTGGGGCTCTAGGTGAATAGATAAAAGAACATGATGACAGTAGTGTTCCAGAACTTTCTACGGACCCACTCTAAGCTTGTTTCCTGTGATAACTAACGTAATCCACCAGCAGTCCTCTGGCATGCAGGTGTGTGTGAGGAGCAGGTCAAGGACCAGCTCAGTGGCTGAGAGAGGGGGACACTTGGACATGAGTAGACATGTCCCTGAGGAGGTGTGTGGACCACCTGTGTGTAAAACGACAGGTATTTGAAACATAATAGGACTCCTCGCCCTTAAAGACGACCTTGAGTGGAAAAATTCACGCTGAGGTGGTTTCGGGGTCAGGTCAGGAATCACACTCCCGGAAAAATTCAAGGAAAAAACCAGGTGTTCAGAGTGGGCTGGCTCTGGCCCTGTGAGTCCAAGGGTGCAGGGCCCAGGGCCCGGGGGCTCACCCGAGCGGGCATTGATCCGGAACTGAGAGGAGCCCTCCAAGGAGTAGATGATGGACTCTTGGCCATACTCGCGGGAGCGGTCCAGGTCGGTGGCATTCAGGAACAGCACGGTGGCTCCTTCCAGGAGACAAAGGGGGTAGGCACTGCTCACCTGGGCCCCCAGTGCCAGTCCCTGGGGACTAGCATTGCCAGAGGCCTCAGGGAGGCAGGGAGCCTGCCCCCTGGGGGATTCCAGGGGTGACCAGGCCCAACTTCTTGCCCTCCTGGCCCAGACCCTGTGCTGTGTGGGATGAGGCTCCGTCAGAGGGAGCAGCCGGGGACCCTGGGGGAGGTGGCCTGTCCTCCCTCCCAACCCCAGAGGCTCAGTGCTACCTCAGCTGCCTCCTTGTTAAACACTCAGACTGACCACCTTTTACTTTTGAGTCAAAAAGAAATGAAGCTCCATATTAAACTATTCTACCTTTATTGCATCCAATTTTGGTCCTGTTTTATCTTGTTGGCGGGGGAATTTATAAGGGTTTTTATTTTCTCGTTAATGTCCAGTTAAGGCTTCACCTTCATCCCTAGCTGCACGCACTCCTGGGTGGAGGATCAGCCCTTCCGCAGCAGCCCTGGCCCAAACCCAGGCTCGGCTTAACCCCAGCTGGAGACCATGGGCCTGGCAAGTGCCTGGGCTTGTCTGAGCCTCAGCCTCCTGCTCTGCAGACGGGACCTCCCTGTGGGATCTCGGGGAGGACCCCTGGGCAGGAAGCACGCCGGGCACCGTGGCCCGCAGTCTGCTCCCACTGCACTCTGCTGGTGGTCTGTGCTGAGCATTGGAAGGTCAGGGGTCAGGCAGGTGATGGTGGCCCCTTCCAGGTGGCCAGGGACCTCGGATCTGACTGGTCCATCCTGCTCTGAGCAGGGCACAGATACACAAGTTCTACTGTGCCCTGTCATCCACACGCCCTTGCTTAGGAAGAGAACTAGGGACCACAGTGAAGACCCCATGGGAGATCCCCAAGCGCTCCAGGAGGATGGCACCTCCTGGGGATGTGTGGCGGTCACAGGGAGGGGTGGGCTGGACATGGCCTGGCACCTGACTAGCTAATCGTCAGACACCAGAGAGGTGCCCAGAGGTTCCCTTTAAAAGGCCCATGGAGCTGGGTACAGTGGTGCACACTTATGTCCCAGCGACGCGGGAGGCTGGGGCAGGAGGATCTCAGTCAAAGGCAGCTTCAGCAATTTAGCAAGACTCTGTCTCTAATGAAATAAAAAAAAAAAATTGGGGGATGTGGCTTGGTGGTTACGTGCCCCTGGGTTCAATCCTGGTACACCGCACCCCCCAAAAAAGGCCTGTGGTACCCCTGGAAGGCCACCCCTAACTCCAGTGGGCCCTGCACCTCACGGTGCCTGACTCTAGCTTATCCAGGTGTCCCTGATCCTGCTATCTCCGAGCTGGCAGTTTCTGACTCATGCAGTGGTGCGACAGTTCCTGACACAGCACGTCCCCACAGCAGAGCACACTCTGGCCTCTGGGTGAGGCCACCAGGTCGACTTGGGGCAGAGCAAATGCCCCGGAGCCAGGCGTGGACCTGGGTGGCCCAGGACGGAGCCTCTGTCCTCACCCTCACCTAGGAACACAACTCAAGGCCATTCTTCAAGGGAGTCCTGGTTCCTAGACGCCTCCCAGCCTCAGTCTCAGAACTCTGCCTCTACACGGCTTAATCGTCATCTGTCACCATCCTCTTCCTGCTGCCAGGGAGCAGGGACCCAGCCCCCAGGGGAGGGTCTGCACACAGTGGCTGCTCTCTAAGTAGCTGCTGGTAGCAGATAACCAGACGTCCTCAAAGGCTTCCTGACTTGTCCCAGGACACCTGGCCTGGGAAACAGAGGTGGCCACGGACCTCCCTACATTCGTGAGCAGGGCCTGGAGCGGGCCTCGAGGTGCCTGAGGGTGCTGGCTGCCCCTGCCCCTCACTCCTGGGGGGCCTACCTGCCATGATGTTCTCCACCACAGACACGAAGTAGGCGGGCCTGCTGAAGGTCGGCGGGTTGTCGTTCTCGTCCTGGAAGGAGAGCGGGCGGGTAGCTGGGGCCAGGGAGCCGGTCAGGCTGGGCGGCAGTTCAAGGTGGGCCAAAGGGCGCAGGCTGGGCCTGGTGGCTCCGAGGAGCTCTGGCCTCTACAGGTAACCAGGGCCGGGGGTGGGGGGTCCCTCTGGCAAGCCCGGGTTCCAGGGGGCAAAGACGGGAATGAAGGAGCAGTGGCTCGCCCGCGTCCCTGGAGTGCCACAGCCCCAAGGGTACTGGGGTGTGCAGGGGCTGGCCACAGGTCCTTCCCAGACCCTGAGATCCTGCCCTGGGCGGGCTGCAGGCAGGGCCAGCCGGACTCTCCTCACGCACAGGGACAAGGGCTCCCACCCCGGCCAGGGGCCTGGCCCCCTCCTGGAGCTCTCCCTCCTCTGGTCAGGCCTTCAGCAGGCGAGGGCGGGGCTGGACTGAGGAGCTGAACTGGGCATGGGTTGGGGAGGCCCCGTCTTGGGGGGCCAGAGCCACATGCAGCCCCTGCCTCT